ATATATTTATTATAAATAATAATTATATAATTACATACATATAATTATAATTAATAATATATATAGTTTTATATATATATTTATATATATAAATTGAATATTGCTATACATAATAATTTCTTTGAAAGAATATATTGTATACATAATAATTTCTTTGAAAGAATACTTTTTTTTTATTTAATATTTTTGAGTTAAAGAAACTCGTATAGATCACTTACATGAAAAAATAGATATAAGATATTTTATAATTTTTACTTTTTCTCGAAATTAATGCACCTATATTTATATAAGTACATTCATATAATTATATCCATAATTATTTTTTCCCTAATAATAATAAAAATAATATGTAAGAAAACCAATTGTAACTTATATTTTTTTTTCTACAAATTGTATTTATTCGTGGACAAAATTATATATATAAGAAAAATTCAAAAAAGATTAACATTTTATTATTGAAAATGAAATAGTTTCTTATGTATTTTTGTATGTTAAATTTGAAACAATTTATAAAAATTGTTTATTACATTAGATTTAGAAAATAAATGAATATAAAATATGAATTTTTACTTCATAAAATATAGCCAAAGAAAGAAATTCTTTTTCAATATGTTTATCAATTGTACTGTATATTTTCCCCATAAAATCGATTTATCATTAAAAAATTTTTTTATCAATATACTTTGAATTATATAATACTTTGAAATTATTCTATTCTTAATCTAATGAAAACAACAAAAACAAAAAAGCAGTGTTTTCTTCGAATTTTCATTCGAATTTATTTTTTTTAACTACTAGATTAATAGAATGAAAATATATATTTATGATTCTTCAAATATCAAAATATAATACTTTTCAATAAATTTTTATTCATAACATTAAAAATAGAATAACTTCAAAACGGTATATATCAACAAAAAAATCTTATGATGACATCAAATTTAATTCTATAAGGAAAAAATATTTCTATATACATTATTCTATATGTATAATATAGTTAACAAAAATATTGAAAAAAATTATTTCAAAGCAAAAATCAATATTTTTTATCCACTAATATGATAGACAATTTTTATAGCTAGATTTTCATTCAGCATATAAAAGCTAAATATTTAAAATTTTTTTTCATTCTCAATATTCTCTTATTTTTCATAATTGTGTTATATATATATATATATATTGTGTTATATATATATGTATATATATATATATATATATATATATATATAATTTATATCAGCATTATATTAATTTCGAGAAAACTAAAAATCATAGAATATGCTATTATTTTCTTTTAAGATTATATATATATAACAAAAAACAAAAATTTTCATATTCCATTTTAGAACAAATTCATTTAATTCAAAAATTCCAATTTGAATGACAATTTGTGCATGATATATATAAATCATGAATGAATTATATGTAGGGAAATTTTTTCGATGACAAAAAATTTCTAGAAAAATGTGAAATCAACTTCAAAGATTCAACATTTTTTTCAAGTTTTGAATATAATTTCGTTTAGTGACAAAATGATAAAACATTAAATTTTGATAATTTAAAATTTTGACTTTCTCTATTATAAATGTTTAATCAACAGAAATCATTAAAATTAACTTAATTTTTAAAATTGACTTAATTTTTACTAATAGTATATAATTCTTCAGAAATTTTTATAATTTTTCAGAATTTAAAAAAAGTGGTAGCTTTTTACTATGATAATCTTAAGTTTTTTTAGATAAGCTTAATATTATTAAGTTATATAGATATAACGTTTATTTTTATTATATGTTTGTATTTTTATTATATGTTTGTATATGTGTTTTGATTTATATTATCTTCTAGTTACTATAGTTATTATCTATCTAGTTATTATAAAATGTTGAAAATATTGTTTTAATTTAAAATTATTTCAGAATCTTCAACATTATTGTAATAAATCGCAAATTAATAAATTGCAAATAATTGTATTTAATGTATTTAATGATATATATATAATATATTTAATGTTTTATATATATATATCCATATATCATGAAATGTTGTAATTATATTAATATAATATCTGTTAGTGAAATTTTTATCATAATTTTTTGAATTTTAAACTAATTTAACATGTAATTAAGTTTATAGTTTAATATAATTAAAACATATAGTTTAATTGAGATTATACCGAAAAAATTTTCAAAAACTTAGTTATAAATATGTTTGGTTATGTAATATTTACATTTTCATATATTTTGTTTTTTGAATAATGAATATATAATTGTTTTGTCAAATTAAAATATTTTATAAATTTATTGCATTCATTTTTAACGTAAAAATCAAATTTGTAGAAAAAAAATGTAAACTAACAATTAACAATTAACTTTTTTCTATATTATTAAAAAATATATA